GTTATACATTATGTTAATTACTGTACAAAGAATTGCAGGACCCCCCAAGTTTTGGCAAGTGCCCTTTTTCCGGTAGTGGGCCTGCAACCATCACCTCATGTTTTCGATTTTCGCCGGCCGAACCGCCGGCTAAATTCCCATTGGCTAGCTGAGGCGATCGGTAATTAATTAACCTAGCGTGCAGGCCCAAGGGAACAGTGATTCATCACAAAGGCATAGACAAAGGCTCTCGATAAGCTTAAAACAGACTTCAGTTGATACGTTATGTGTTCTCACTTCCTCAAGAAAATTATTTTTTGGTTGATGTTGAGATGCAGTTGCATGTAAGGACTGTAAGCCTATTCGAAACACTTTGCGATTTACAAGGCTTCTCTGAGGGAGCGAAACAGAAGGCGGTATTAAATTGCCGTTTGAAACGAAACGATCTGGACTCGGAACGCTCTCTTCGTTTGTAGAGTGCTTTACCAAATGAAATAAATTTCGTACTGTTCCGATTTTAGTTGAAAATGAGCACTTGCAAATTTGGCAATTACTGACTGCGTTGCTTGCTTTTTTGGAGTTAAAACGCAGCCATTTACACATTGTTTATTAGTGTTCTGAATAAGCAGAGAAAATCCCGCAAATTTTAATACGAGTTTGTTTGTTAATATTTGGGTGCTGTCATTGGTTCTTTTTTGACAATTGACGCGCGAATGGGGCTTTTTTTTCCTGAAAATTTTTCATTAAAATTGTATTTTTAGGCCAAGGTGCACTTTTGAAAACTTCAATGTACGTTATTTCCTGAAAAATGTTTTAATTTCCGGAAAAACTATCATATTTACCCCCAACTTTTCGAAGGTTCCTACGCCCCTGGCACATTATACATTCAAATGCAAAATGGCTTGTAGTAGATACGAGTCTGTAAACGAAAATTAACTGTCCAAATTATCGTCAGTAAAAGACAGTGACAGCCAATCTCTATGGTGACAACACCAAAAAGGTCACGAAACAATACAAAACTATCTTCGATGAGTATTTATTATTTCCACTTTAATTGTCATGTCATCTATTCTTTACAATGTATAGTAAAACAAGTATTGAATTTGGGCCATTCGGCTTAACCCTGGTCCCTAGGAACGAGGTTGGGCTTATCCATGATATCAAGACTTACAGGACAAGCGTGGACAGCAGTGCTTGCATTGTATTTCACTGCAAATATTATGTAAAAAACTGAAGTTTTAATCCTGTATAAATGTTCGGAAATAATACTAATTCTGACATCGGTCAATGGCAATGTTACCCACCTCAGCTTCGCTTTGGCAGATATTAAATATTAACTTCGCGATATCATAATAATTGTTCATTGTTAATGTTCAACGGGTCGAAAATAAATTTACGGTGGTTGGATTTTTGCCATTTTTACAATTTGATTTATGCTCGAAGCTTCGCTTTGGCAGATATTAAATATTAACTTCGCGATATCATAATAATTGTTTATTGTTAATGTTCAACGGGTCGAAAATAAATTTATGGTGGTTGGATTTTTGCCATTTTTACAATTTGCTTTATGCTCGAAGTCTTGGCAAGATCGTGAAAGATCATGGCAAGATTTTGCCATGACTGGAACAAGATCATGGCACAATCATGAATCAGGGCAAGTTCTTGGTAAAATCTTGGCAATGATGGCAAGATGCTTGTGATGTTACTCTGAGTGTGTATCCACACCGGGCAGGCTTGAAAAATATACCTGGCCACGGTGGGAATCGAACCTACGACCTTTGGAATACTAGCCCAATGCTCTGCCAACTGAGCTACGCGGTCAGGTCGGTTCGAGTATGCGATATTTCGGAACTGAGTCTAGTTCATCAGTGGCAGAGCATTGGGCTAGTATTCCAAAGGTCGTAGGTTCGATTCCCACCGTGGCCAGGCATATATTTTTCAAGCCTGCCCGGTGTGGATACACACTCAGAGTAACATCACAAGCACCAACACAGCAAATATCATGATGGCAAGATCTTCCCAAGATTGTAACAAGATCATGGTACAAACATGGCTAGATTTTGATGAAATCCTGCCAAGATCTTGGAACATCATGGTAAGATCTTGAGAAAAATGTATTTTCTTTTACAAATTTTCTTTTTACAATCATTCCAAGATCTTGGCAAGAAAACACGAAAATCTTGGTAAGATATTGCCAAGATGTGCAACCTGGGGGCCGTACCCGACGGTTTTAATTAATGAGAGTTGTAACTCTTGGTCGCGTTTCACCGCCAACTCTCATCAACTTTGAGCTGGTTCAATGAGAGTTACGAGAGTTTTCACTCGTTTGGTCTGTAATATCAGGTTTGTGCACGTTTCTGCGATATTGTTGTTCACATTTAAAGTCGAGCATGCTCATATTTAAAGTCGAGCATAAAGCAAATTGTAAAAGTGGCAAAAATCCAACCACCATAAATTTATTTTCGACCCGTTGAACATAAACAATTATTATGATATCGCGAAGTCAATGTTTAATATCTGCCAAAGCGAAGCTGAGGTGGGTAACAATGTCAATGACCGAAGTCAGAACAAGTCTTGATATCGTGGACATGGATAAGCCCAACCTCGTTCCCAGGGTTAGGTTAAGCTGAATTCAATAATTGTTTTACAAAACATTGAAAAGAACAGATAAGATAGCCAAAACTGGCGGCCGGTGTGAAAGATGAAAAAAGACATTTAAAGTGGAAATAATAAATACTCATGGAACGTAGTTTTGTATTGCTTCGTAACCTTTTTGGTGTTGTCGCCATAGAGATTGGCTGTCACTGTCACACAGCATGTTTTAACAAGGCTGACGCATGTTGTTCTGCATAAACATTTTTAAAAAATTATAGACATTAGGTTAAATCGGCTTTTGTTGCTGGTATTACTCTACCCAGTGGTGGAAAATGTCCAGCAGCACGGCTGCCAGGAACTGTTTAACAAAATATCTTCGCAGGAAGTTCTTACACTTTGCAGGAAATTCCTGTCATCTTATATACTAATTACTGGACTGTCAAATAATTTACTTAAAAATCCCAAAAGCATTTTACAAGTCGAGATTATCTTGTGCCGAAGATTGAAATTGATCACACTGTACGGCACCGTTCGTTCTTTGAAATATATACATAGGAAATTTTATTTTTGGACTTTGTTGCTAGGAAGAGAAATATATTTTCTAGATCTGACTCTAGTCTCTACCTTTAGGAAATACATTACGACGATTTTCTAGTATACTTTTCTAGTGTAATGCAATGTCAGATATATTAACATTTGTATAATATATATAAAGAGACACGCACCTCCGCGTCCGAACCCAAGCCTGAAGTTGAAACACCAAATCTTTCTTTTCTCTTTTTAATTTTTTCTTCTTCAACCGTCTAAAATATTAAATAATTTATTTAGCCAACAACTTCCTCTCTGTCTATATGAAAACACAAGTTTTGTTAGTGGGCTAATTAGAACATAAATGGAATAATAGCCTCATTATATATTATGTTCTAATTAGAAGTCTTGCAAAGTTTACAATACCTTGGTGACAATAGGAGAAACCGCTCCAAAGCGTTCAGCTCGTTTTGATAACTTTTCTATATCAGCTGAATCCTAGCAAAAAAAATTTGGAGGGGTTAGTAGTTCTGAATATTGCACTGATAATAAAATAATGCACTGATATAACAAAGTTTAAATGCATACTTTTGTAAATCCAGCAAGTTTTTGATTTCCAGCAGCATTAGTTTTTCCACCAGCACCAAATCTATTATAATTATATAATACACTTTAGTATATAATACTTATATCCCAAAAACATGTGTTCCAGATTTTTATTATTGCATCGAAAATTCAATCTACGAAAGTAATTTTGACACTAAGATTATTAAAACTGAGCAGTCTGGTAAGTGCTGTTGCAGTAAAAGTAAAACCCTATACCTTTCCGCTCTTGCAAGTTTCTTTTGTTTTTCATTTAAGGGAATACCAAATCGTTCCTGTCTATTCATTTTCCTCTAAAACAAAATGAATTCGATACAATAAAAAAAAACCAATTAGCCTTTCTCACGAAGGCCAAATTCGCTATTTTTGGGGTACTTTTTTGAAAGCGACGTGAAAAATCCAAGCGATGTGAAAACATTTTTTTCAAATATTTAACTGTAAATTAACTTATAATGATTAGACTTACAATTGTAGTTATACAAATCCCTTATTCACTGCGTGCAATCTCAGATTTGGAAAAGGCAGTACCCCAAAAATGGCGGCGTGAGAAAGGCTAATTGGTTGTTACAGTACAAGAAAGAAAGCATCCCAGATAGAAGCAAGTCCAACAGTAAAATAGCCATCTTTAATACCTCTTTGTCTGTTTTTGGTAAATCTAATGAAACTTTTTTAGGTTCCTCAACAGTTTTGATGAAATTCCTACAACAGAAGTGTATACACTATGTTAATTACTGTACAACAGAATTGGTTATACATTATGTTAATTACTGTACAACAGAATTGGTTATACATTATGTTAATTACTGTACAACAGAATTGGTTATACATTATGTTAATTACTGTACAAAGAATTGGTTATACATTATGTTAATTACTGTACAACAGAATTGGTTATACATTATGTTAATTACTGTACAACAGAATTGGTTATACATTATGTTAATTACTGTACAAAGAATTGGTTATACATTATGTTAATTACTGTACAACAGAATTGGTTATACATTATGTTAATTACTGTACAAAGAATTGGTTATACTTTATGTTAATTACTGTACAACAGAATTGGTTATACATTATGTTAATTACTGTACAACAGAATTGATGTATACATTATGTTAATTACTGCACAAAGAATTGGTTATACTTTATGTTAATTACTGTACAACAGAATTGATGTATACATTATGTTAATTACTGCACAAAGAATTGGTTATACATTATGCTAATTACTGTACAAAGAATTGGTTATACATTATGTTAATTACTGTACAACAGAATTGGTTATAAATTATGTTAATTACTGTACAACAGAATTGATGTATACATTATGTTAATTACGGCACAAAGAATTGGTTATACTTTATGTTAATTACTATACAACAGAATTGATGTATACATTATGTTAATTACTGTACAAAGAATTGATGTATACATTATGTTAATTACTGTACAAAGAATTGGTTATACATTATGTTAATTACTGTACAAATAATTGGTTATAAATTATGTTAATTACTGTACAACAGAATTGGTTATACATTATGTTAATTACTGCACAAAGAATTGGTTATACATTATGTTAATTACTGCACAAAGAATTGGTTATACTTTATGTTAATTACTGTACAACAGAATTGATGTATACATTATGTTAATTACTGTACAAAGAATTGGTTATACATTATGTTAATTACTGTACAAATAATTGGTTATAAATTATGTTAATTACTGTACAACAGAATTGGTTATACATTATGTTAATTACTGTACAACAGAATTGATGTATACATTATGTTAATTACTGCACAAAGAATTGGTTATACTTTATGTTAATTACTGTACAACAGAATTGATGTATACATTATGTTAATTACTGTACATAGAGGCCCTTTCCACAATGCTAAAATACGACAAAACAATGAGTGATTGGATGGCAATGTACCAAGAATAAAATGTGATTACTAATCAAGACACAATAAATAAATTGTGTTTAATTAATGAACAGTCAAAATAAACAATGCAAAACCTATAGCAAAATAAAAAACTATAGAAAAATATAGTGGTCCATGTAATAATAAGGTTATCCAATAGACTTACAGACTTTCTTCAACTTTAGCTAGATCATCAGAAGCTGGTGGAATATTTTCAGTAGGTATATCAGGCTAGGAATAGAAAATTTGAAATGTATAACCGACAATAAATGCAGAGTGAGTGAGGAGTCAGTATGTTCATTGGGCTGACCCCAATATATCCACGTAAAGTAAACAAACAACCTGTTCCCAGTTGATATCGACAGGCTTTCAGAACAACAGTGTGCTACACCCTAAGAACAAGTTGTCAACAATGTTGTTACAGTATTGTTACAATCAGTGCCATAGCAAGCTCGATAATTGGGGGGGGGGCTGATATTCATA